GGCAGGTGTTCTTGCCCGTCATCTAAGATGCCGGACTTCGCTGCTCAATGTTGTCTCGTGGGTAAGCCAGAAATCTCTCTGACTGTTGGTTCGAATCCCAGTTATCCCCGACTATGTTTGTTGGTTTGTCAGCACCATCACCGTGGCCGTGGGTTCCACCGTAGTGATGTACATCTGAGACCCGCTCACACTCAGCTGGCACGCCGTTATTGGGTTCATTTTAAAAAGCAACGTTAAACGCAAATCACTCACTCACTCACTCATCAATACATTCATCACGTGACGCAATCTTAGTTACGAGACTGAAGAAGGTGGGAATCTGTTTTCAGTTGCAGGAACACGGATATATATTTCAGGTAACCAGTGTGATACAATCAACCTCAGGCGAAATAAATCATTAAAAGCTGATGATGAGTACCAATATTAAGGTTGATGGACAATAGGTCAGAAGTACATGCACATATGGGGGCTAAGAGTGTTGCCACATATTTAATGTAAAAGTGGCCTTCCTCTGTTACCAACTCTTTCACACATATTCGTTCACCTGATGGCACACTGTCACGCTTCTAACAGACGACTCTACAAGCGTCTTGCCCTGGTTGCATTCTCTTCCCACAGAGGTTACTTGTCATATCTTCCTACGAACCTCTGTTCTAATACGGCCATATTTCCCGGTTCTCGTAAAATCCCCTATCGGCCAAAAACACTTGTTACATCGACTTAGCTTCAACCTGACTAATACAAGCAAATGTGGGGCCACAAATATAAAAAATGGAGACGCCATCGATCCGCCATTACATGACTGAGTTCTGTCTAGGTTCTAGTTTTTCCCGAAGCATACAGAAATTACCGAGGCCTTGCGAATGATCACTTTTGAAACAACGTCGCTGATTGCACAACTAAATCTGATTGCAACCAATCACGAATCCTAAACACTAGCACCATGAAAGGGCCCTATTAGAACAGAGGTTCGCAGGAAGATATGACAAGTAACCTCTGTGGGAAGAGAATGTCCCTGGATGTTACGTAGAGGATAATGTACAAGTTGTCCGGGACACTTTCTCTTGAGAACAGTGATGAAAACTTACCTACTTATTACATGGCACCTGGGTTTCAAGACATGGTGGTAGCAAGTAATACCCGTGTAGTAATAATTATTTTCTGATAGACGTGACAGACTGCAGTACGTCCATGTTAAACATACATACACTTGGTCAGAGAAAGCCCTCGTTGGGGATCACTGGGTCAGAAAGGGCACTGTTCTGTTACGTGTTTGTTCTTTGAGATCAAACGTTAAGGAGTAACTTGACATAATATTATCTTTCAGGCCTATTTTTAGTGTCTCCTGTTCGCGGGGCCAGCATGCATCATCGACTTCTCAACAATGAGAGTACGATCGATTTCTAATGCTTTATGTTTAAGAACGTAGAAAAAGATAAATATGGCATGATCTTACCGTAATCTAAGGGATTGTACAATTGATTGCCAGCAGATGACTCAGTACATTTTCCTTCAGCGTTTTTAAAAAAAACAAAAACATAAAGGAATCTTTTGTCTAAACGGATTTGGGTAGGAGTGAGATCAGGACAAAATGATTCATCTTTGATTATGCGCAAAACTAACGGTTAGATTTTTAAATGGGAATTTTTGTTACCACTCGATGGTCTGTAAAACATATTCAGTCGAATTTGCAAGTGTGAGACTTATACTCGTGGCATGTTGCTGTAAATAATATTGGAATCTCTCTGAGTCCAGTACCAGTAGCAGCCCTTGAACTATGAACCAATGTACAACAGTGGAAGTATCCATGAATTGGGGAACTGACGGTTAAAGTGTTATTAATGAGACACTGTTTTCTGGTGTGTGCAGAAATTCTGATCCTGTATACTGTGAGGACTGCCGCCTTGGTGCAACAGCTGCCAGGTTTAACACTCCTCTCGCTGCTCAGAGTCAATCGCTTTGTCACCCAGGAACCCTTGGACATGGATTAGAGTCGCAGATTCACTATAATAATGATTCGTTAAATCCTTATTCATGAGCACAGTATCCGCTTGTTTAATCCAACGTGATAAAAATGTGTGTAACGGGCTTTTCTCGGACTAACTTGCTGTGTTGTAACTAACATTCACACATGATGTTTATAAGTTTTTTGTTTCCTGGATCATAACATTCAAGACCTTATAATAAGGCTTTCAAAATAGTTTAATGCAGACAGTTAGAGGACACTTCAAAGTGGCGCATCATTGACAAAAATATGTCCGATTTCTCTGTGCCTTTCTATTTGAATAATGAACTTGCCATGTGGTGGTTGCCACGAAGCAGGATAAGCCTAGTTTTACACGAACATCGTGTATCATCTCGGTTATTGTATTTGGTCTCTGCTTGAAACACTTGTTTATCATGCTTATGGAAAGGGATATCTCTCTTTGGTAATTCCATAGTTTGGGTCTACCAAAACCCTGAATAAAGTGACTATGAAACAAACGTAGCACCTGTCCAGCTGACGCTTATACGCCGATACCAACACAATAAGAAAGTCACATACTATAGTATCTAAGCAAATATAATATTGCTGACCTAATATATTTTCAAATGAAAATCAAACACAATCAGCTGAGAGGCAGAGGTTGCTTTGGTCCTCGGTGTATGTTAGGGAAGAAATCAGCCAGTGGAATCCGTCACTGTACGCATGGCTTCTTGGCAGAGATTTTGGCGTGACCAAGGCATAGCAGAACAACGTTCACATACAACATAAAACAGCAGTATGAAAAAACAACAACTTTATTGTCAAGATAAACAACTTTATATGTACAGTGGTAAGATGCAACACAACAGGATATTTGTTTTACATATTTCGCCTCAAACAAGGCTTGTGCCAAGCGAGTTAGAGACACGGTCGAGAGACAAAACGTGGAGGTTCATCGAACCGGATACTGGATGTGTAAAAAATGGATTTGTGGTTAAAAGTACTTATTTTCTGTCGTCGTGTAGATTTAACAGCGCCCCAGAAGTAAAGTTTATGATTTCCCTTTTCAATATATATGAAGACTTAACATTGATATGAAGAATGGACGTTTACATGTAATTCCTCAATTTACCATGTGACTAACTTTTGTTAACCATCGGTTTCAACATGGAGTCGTATCAGCCCAATGTGGGGGGACAGTCGTGGTGCCCAGTGCCGACATATCAGGAAACATATCAGGGAGCATAACTGGGAACAAGGGGACGCAACTCTGCAAATAAATCGCGGCGTCTTAAACCATAGGTCAAAGATAGATGTTAAAGAGAAAAGTACTGAAAATAGAAGTGGAGATGTAATATTTGTAAAACAAGTGAACAAATATGGTGACAGTCATGTCGAGATAGCTACATATATGTCGAGATAGCCATATGTTAAACTATAGAAGAAGTGATGTAACTAAAGTCGACCATTCAAACACAACAGATATAGATTTGCACTTAAATAAAACACAAACATAAATGTCTACAAACATCCCATCGTCGTTTTTGTTTCGTTCTTCAAAAGATGTGGTTGAAAGTAGATCAGTATAAGGCTACCTGCAGGGCCCCTTTAAAAACGTGGAGCTAGTCGTACTGTGTCATGCCGCTATCTACATACAATTCACGTAGGGACATCGTTTGTGTGCAAATGGGTTGAGGAAACCGTCCAACAATCTACGCGATCTTTGTCAAATCAATAACGCCTTTCCTGCCTTACACATAAAGCTTATTGTCAGGTCCAAGTCAAAAGCAAACTGGACAGATGCCATTAATGGACTCCTTGAAACTACTGTCCATCCCGAAATGGCTTCATTATCACTTCTTACATTTCATTTGGACGTTTCATTCCGTGTTTCCAAATCTTTACTGTATTTTGATTTACCCGTTATGAAGCTGTAGAGCTTCTGTCTTCTTCCAAGGGTAGACTATATGAGCGAAATTTGAAATGAGATTGTGATCAATGATTCATTGTTTATTGATCCCTGCCGGTATAACTCGGCTGACATCAAAGCTTAATGACTGTAGGGATGAGTGAAGTGCTTAATTTATTGCATTCCACGATAGACAATGGATAATGTCAACTCTCCAAGACCCAGTTAGAGACGACAGTGGTCTATGTTAGCAATATCGATTAGATTGTATTTCTCACGGTGTAATATATAATGTATCACTGGCCTTTCATATACGTTTCAAAGGTATTTGTTCCTTGCGCCAATATAAAATCTGTTTCGTAGGTCATCAAGATTAGTGACGTTTTAGATTACATTGGAAAGAAGCTTGTCGTTACTGTCAGTATTGACAGGAACTTGACAACAACAAAACAATCAACTCAACGTGAGCTCGTGGCACATGGAGACGTGTCAAAACAAGTAGCAATTGATAAGTAACATAACAAATTACAAGTCACAACGTCAGAATTTAACATTATTGCACGGCAACCAAAACACTGGTGTATAGAAACAAACAAAAGCAAGATAGATGCCATCTTAAGAACAAGGTTAAAACTACGACTTAAAAAGTACAACCATAAACCGTCTATATACACAAGTATTGCGGCCAAGTAACCACGCGCTACACACTAACTGTGACATCGGTGTGTTTGTGCGACTGTTTTCAAAATGAAGTACGTTGCCGACGTTGCGTACAATTTCCACTAAAGGTTCAAGATCAGGAATGCATTTGTGTCGATCGTGTCAGTCTACAAGGACAAGTCTTTTTGGTGACGGAAAGGGCTGAATGGTGCAGCAACAGGAGGCTCTTTCCAAGAAAACCATTTTTCAATCAGAACGATCACGGCGACAATACACGTCCACCAACATCAGATCTCCATGTGGCATCTACATGTTTGATTCCAGAAAACGGAAATGATCCATCAAAACCACAAGGGAGGCAACTCAAGCTGTAATAGCCTCTCTCACTTCTCTGCATCGACTTGTTTCATATGTAATGCGTTTCCCATAAGATAGAAATTATAGGCATAGAAATACACGCATAGATATATTTAAGCGTGTTTTATATACAAATTGTAATAATGTTAGACATAAGACCAGTAGATACCAGTAGACAGTCGTCACGACCAGTAGTTGGTGTCAAACTTAGCATATACACAGTGCACATTAATATCACAAATCTCATCTTTCAATAGTCTAAGATATTTGACTATAGTTACATGTAAAGCATACCTTTATGTATTTTATGTACACAAAGAACTGGCTTATTGAAGGCACGTCACGATAAACACACCATATTCACTTCTGGCCATTGCTGAAAAGCACGTGCTTGAACATTTGTAAATCCTGTAAAACTACAGGTAAACTGAACACATAACACCGGAAGTAGTACCCCCGACAATCAAGGGTCTCCAACACTGGATAACCGAGGGTGCAGTAGGTGTGTGTATATAGGTTTATTTAGTTGATAAATGGGTGTAGGGGACGAACGACCGCATCAGAATTTAGAAGTGTGGCCGGCCAACACTGACACTAACACCCATCCCTTCATCTACTTCAGGCGCAGAAGCTATGCCAGCCAGACTTTACTGGGTGTCGTTTAGTTGTAAAACATACTACCTTTAGAAGTGTGGCCGGCCAACACTGACACTAACACCTATCCCTTCATCTACTTCAGGCGCAGAAGCTATGCCAGCCAGACTCTACTGGGTGTCGTTTATTTGTAAAACATACTACCTTTACTAATCAGCAGTTTACACATGGTGAGCGAAGTAACATTTGTTTTTAACTGTCTCCTTCCTGGATAGTTTCCCCATTCGACAATTCAATAGCTGCAAGGATTCCTTTGTAGAAAAAAATATATTCACATCTTTCACTTATTTCATATTTCCGCCACTCAGCCATACCCATCTGAATGTTTCTGTATATAATAGACCCAGGTTGTCTGAGAATCGATTGCGTTGTCTGCTGTTGTGATATGGATAATAGTTCCTCCCCTTTACAGTCGTGCATATTTAGCCTGAACAATAAACAAACAGTCACTTATTCCCACCATCCCGTTGTTCTCAACCACGACCAATCACATTGTAAATTAAAGAGTTCTTTGACTCTCATACATACCTACCTCCCTGACAATCTGACCCTCATGGAAGGTCGCGTCAGGTGAAACTTGAAACTCATTTTCAGTGAAGGATGCGTGATTTTTGGGCCAATCCGTTGTCAGTGTGTCTAAAACAATACTTCATTTCTTTTCTATCTTGATTATAACATTACAACGCATTCAAACATACTTGCAGTTGCCTGAAATAGGCAATGCTACGGCCAATGGGATAGAATGAATTGTCGTGACGTATATTCAAGATAAATAACAAATATTATTCACTTGTCGGGACGTTATTCATGCATATCCATTATAGGTAGTGCACACACGAATTTCCTGATATTGTTATTGCAACTGCAAATATCAGGGTCAAGTCAGAATAAAAGAATATATTTACCTTAAACATATAGATGACTTAATTCATATTCCTCGTGATATGTGTGAACACAACACTTAACTTTCAAGTGTGTGTGTATTGATGTGTGCGTGTGCATGTGTGTGTGTGCGTGTGTGTGTGTGTGTGTGTGTGTGTGTGTGTGTGTGTGTGTGTGTGTGTGTGTGTGTGTGTAGGGGACATATGTATGCATGTGTGTGTGTGTGTGTGTGTGGTCTTTGTTTGTAAGCGTGTGTGCGTTTAAGTATGTGTGCGCCTAAGTGTGTGATTTGAAGTGTACCTCCCTCAACTACAGGCGCTGAATATCACAGATACATACTTATATGTACATTGTTGAAGAATTACCACGTTGATTTTTCATCACACACATCTTTGTGTCTTCGTTCGGTTTCATATTTATTATGAAATTACTAATATATTCAATTGTTTTAGATATCGGTATTATATTTCTGACATCAGGTATCAGTGAGTACTCATTTTCTGACATTCGGATTACAATTATTGATATCTTAAAATGTTATGGTGATATCAAGAAAATATTCAGGATATCTCTAAAAGCGTTACGATGTCAATAAAACAAATACTATCCTACTGTACATAACCAGTTTAGAAATTAATTCGCGATATCATAAATCTATTCAAGATATCTTGAAATACACATCCACAAATGCATTTCAGATACCAATAACTCCTTTAGATTATATTTTAATTCCTTTCAGTTACCAATAACTTATTACTGATAACTGCATTTATTTAAGACATCAAGAAGTGAATTACTGATATTATCTTCAACTCAGTTCCAGGTATCTTGAATTTATTTCAGGACATCTTAAAAAGAGTTGACGACATCAGTAATGTCTTAATAAATGTGATTACTGCTTGCCATACATTGGACTTCTGTAAACTTCTGACCTCATACTTGTATCAGCCTGATTTATAAAAATATATTTACAATCACAATCTGTACATTAAAGGCCTTGAAACTTTCAAAATAGACAGTTCTCACCAATAACACCACCACAACACAACACAACAACCTGTATTGTGCTCTCTTGAGTTCAATTAGTCGTCGAACAACGGTTTACCACAAATCACAAATCCACATCACAAACATATACTGCTTCACGCCTTGCCAAAGAAGGAGCTGACGTTGGACTTGAGGAGATGTAGGTGTGTCATGATGGAAAGAGCGTCAAGTAGTATAAAGGTGACTCCAATTAAACTCAACAGAATGCAGGCGGCATAACCACCTGCTGAAGCTGACTGCCGTTCATCGGAAGCGCTCTCCTTCTTCCTGATAGTGGCGGACAGGTTCTTGGTGTCCACGTGAAGCTCCTCCGACACCTTCTCGGCTCTCTCGACTGCCGCCTCCAATGGAGTCTGATTCGGCTTCAGCGGAGGTGGCTTACAACGGCATGTACATGCTTCGTAGATCAAACGCCCGTCTTTGCTGTAAAATACCACTGGACCAGAGCTGGTTGGCCTTCCCCCTGTACCGCCTCCGGGGCTAGTTGTTGTTGTTCCACCCCCGGAACCAACAGTAGCACTGGATGTAGGTCCTGCTGTAGCTCCCGTCGTCGCACCCGCTGTCGCACCTGCGGTCGCACCTGCTGTTGCTCCCGTCGTCGCACCTGCTGTTGCACCTGCAGTTGCACCTGCTGTTGCTCCCGTGGTTGCACTCGGTGTCATACTTGCAGTAGCTCCTGGCGTCGCACCTGCCGTCGCACCCATTGTCCCACTGGCTGTATCCCCAGCTGTTCCACCAGCTGTGCTTCCACCATCAGGAGTTGCACCAGCTGTTGCGCCCGCTGTTGCTGTGGGGTTGATCGTCGTCTGGGCGGCGTTATCACTGCTGGTAGCAGGTATGTCCGGTGCAGTTGAAGACATGTCCATCGAGGTAGACATCATGGGGCTGGAGTCTATAGGTGATGAGTCCATGGTTGACATCTCGGCAGACGTAGACATGTCAATACTAGATGACTCTAACATAGATGACTCAACAGTCGAGGACAAGATGGAGGATGAGCTTTCTGGAAAGAAAAGTGTTATTGGGACCTCATGCGATTAAGTGAGTTAAATTGGTTAATGCCACAATCTGCAATATTCCAGCCATAACACGATGGTCGTAAAATGTTTATATCCCAGTATTCGCAATACAAACCCATGACTGAGAGCATGAGTAACGATCTACGAGCCTAACCACCCAATCCCAATTGTACTTCAAACTAGGATACACCGTCATACATAAATATGCATTACTGTGTACATCTAGCCATCTCTTCATTCCCCTAGAATACATCTGCTATTCGGGACAATGACTTTGATTTGTTGCTGTGAGGAATAGCACTCCGTTTTCATCATCAACTTAAACCGGGAGTGTGAGTTTGTGGGTTGCTGTTTGTGATGTAGCTTGATGTGAAGGGAAAGCCTGAATTGATGCAGGTTCCGGACGTTCAAACAGTTGGTCATTCCTAGCATTTGAATCTACATAATGCGATAAACAGTAGTATTTGTTCTTGGGCAACCCATCACATCGTCATCCAGAGAACCCAAAACATCCTCGCACAGAAACAGAACCCATCACTCCTTCTCATACACAAAGGTGGCGATGGGGCAGCCCAGTGGTTAAATCGTTCGCTCGCCACGTCGAAGACCCGGGTTTGATTCCCCAGATGGATAGAATGTGTGAAAAGCCCATTTCTAGTGTCCCCCGCCGTTATATTGTTGGAATATTGTGTAAAACCATACTCACTCACTCACTGATACACACAGACAGAACTCATCACAACCTCACACACAGAGAGGACTTCAGTGAGACAGAAGCTAGCACACCCCAGCACATGAAGAGAACTCTAGACATCCTCACAGAAATACTGACTGACTGACTGAGTTTGGTTTTACGCCGCTTTTAGCAATATTCCAGCAACATCAGGGCGGGGGACACCAGAAATGGGCTTCACACATTGTGCCCATGTGGGGATTCGAACGCGGGTCTTCGGCGTGACGAGCCAACGCTTTAACCATTAGGCTACCCCACCGCCCCCTCACAGAAATAATCCATCACATCCTCATAAACAGGAAGAGGCCACTACACCATAAGTGAGAGAACGCAACAGGGTCACACAGGGATGACAGAACCAATCACGCTGACACAGGGATAGAACCAATCACGCTGACACAGGGATAGAACCAATCACGCTGACACAGGGATAGAACCAATCACGCTCACACAGGGATAGAACCAGTCACGCTCTCACAGGGATAGAACCAATCATCCTCTCACAGGGATAGAACCAATCATGCTCACACAGGGATAGAACCAATCACGCTCACACAGGGATAGAACCAATCACGCTGAGACATGAATAGACCCGATCGCGCTCACACAGGGATAGAACCAATCACGCTCTCACAGGGATGATAGAACCAATCACCCTCTCACAGGGATAGAACCAATCACGCTCTCACAGGGATAGAACCAATCACGCTTTCACAGGGATGATAGAACCAATCACACCCTCACAGGGATGATAGAACCAATCACTCTCACACGGGGATAGAACCAATCACGCTCTCACATGGATGATAGAACCAATCACGCTCTCACAGGGATGATAGAACCAAACACGCACACACTGTGATATCACTCTCACACGGGGATAGAACCAATCACGCTGACACAGGGATAGAACCAATCACACTGACACAGGGATAGAACCAATCACGCTGACACAGGGATAGAACCAATCACGCTGACACAGGGATAGAACCAATCACGCTCACACAGGATAGAACCAATCACGCTGACACAGGGATAGAACCAATCACTCTCACACAGGTGTAGAACCAATCACGCTGACACGGGGATAGAACCAATCACGCTCACACATCTTTACATCATCACACAGAGAGACAACCCATCATATTCTCCCACAATGCGAGACGAGGTGATATTTAATATGTGCCTACCTGGAATGGTCCACGTCCCTCTGATGACGAACATTCCTCCAACACTGACCACGTTACCTGCAACAGTTATACAGCATGGTAATGGCATATCACATTGTTAGAGATACGGACATCTTGGTCCGACGTCAAGCTCCTTACAGCGACAGCTCTCTTGACTGTAGCTACCCCAGTCAGAGCTTCCCACTGTGCTAGGCGACCTACATTCATACATGGAGATGAACTCCCCTCTGACCGCTAGGTTTTCAAACATGCCGAGTACACTCGACTTAATAATTTTCTTCAATTTAATTCAATTTCATTTAATAAATCCCTCATACAGTGAAATTAGAATGGATAATATGTGTGCTTTCCTGTTAGTTTTCAAGTTTGAATCAATCTTAGGACAAACAGACAAACGTAAATCCATCTGAGAAATAATTAATTTGTCGCAAACGTTACACACTTCACTTGTTTTCTTCACGGTCCCAAAACATGCACACAAATATATATTTACTATATTACGTATTGGAGGGACTGTTTCAAGTGCTTTGTTACAGGCGCTTTGTACGCTGGTGGAAGCGATGCCATCCAAGCGTCACGCGCTGGGAAAGAAGCTTTGGCCGTTATTACAAAGGGAGACTACTCTAGTATTTTTATAACAAATGTCATTGGGCGGAAATAGGCCTCTTATTGGCCCACGTCGCCCTAAAACTATAAAACCAACCAGCCAACAAATGTCATTGCGATAGTGCAAGCAACCCGAGTTGCCAACGTTGAAGACCAGGGGATATTATTGCACCAAGTGAACACTTGACATTCCTAAATACAGCTTGTTGTCAGTAGAGTATATGTGAACACTGTCGACTGGAAGATAATGAACATGTTTTGGGAACATTTTGTTTGTTTTAACACGATAATTAGAATGTAATTAGTGTCACAATAGCTGCAGTAATAGCTGTAGTAGCCCTAGTAGCCATTGCAGCTAATGGTAGATAAGCAGTAGCAGTGGTAGGTGGGTGGTAGATACGGTAGTAGCAGTATAGTTCGTTTTGAGATTATTTGTAGCGATTGCCAGTGGCAGCAAATTACTGAAACGCTCCTACAATATCGAGCGCGCTGTCGCGGCCAGATTTTAACCGGAAGTCTGATGTAAAGCCTCGGCCAACCCTCACAACTCGCCTCATCACTCGCCTCACCACTCGCCCCTTTCCATAACTGCTAAAGAAACCCGTCATCCTATTTCATGAGTCCATCGTCGACAGGTTTTAATCTTCAAAATGTTTCTACTATTTATTGTATGGCTTGTTTTCGTCACGATATGGCTGCAATATTGCCGATGTGACGTTAAATATTCACTCACTCACTCACTCACTATTTCATGAGGGAAGATACGACAAACCAGTAAGAGTTAGTTTGAGATACTTTGATAATCATAATCCCAAGTAATCAAATATGATATAGCAGCATGTGATCATTTAAGAATAACAATATATATATGTCATCATTTTGACATTACCACGTACATAGATATCAGAATTGTGTTGCATGAATTTAAATCATCAATGAAGATAGGGTCATGCATCCCGTGAGATTGAAATCCAAACATAAAGGTTTATCTGTTTTCCAGTTGGGCACTCGTCAACTCGTCAACTTTAACCTTAAATATTGTGTATACTATTCTCTATTTTATCATTTGTTTATAAATAGAATCTATGCTTATAGAAGAAAACATAGAGAAATATAGACCCTAAACTGTAACTTACACTTTGAAATGTAGGCATTGCTTCCTGCCAGCTTCCAAAACATTTCCGGATTCAGAATAAGCAGCGAAAGTAGGCATTCGTGCGTGCCGTGACTTAATGGTTTGATTAATTGTGTTGCTTTGATCACTGGGCGATCCATATGATTCGTTGATCGGCCACTGACCTTGAATGGTCACACACTGATTTTACAATTTAGGTACAGATGTAGGGTTGGGTTTTGTAGTAGTAGTAGTAGTAGTAGTAGTAGTAGTAGTAGTAGTAGTAGTAGTAGTAGTAGTAGTAGCATCAGTAGTAGTAGTAGTAGTAGTTGTAGTAGTCGTAGTAGCAGCAGCAGTAGTAGTAGAGGTAATAGTAGTAGTAGTAGAATCAGTAGTAGGTGTAGTAGTAGTAGTAGTAGTAGTAGTAGTAGTAGTAGTAGTAGTAGTAGTAGTAGTAGTAGCAGCAGCAGCAGCAGCAGCAGTAGTAGTAGTAGAAGCAGAAGTAGTAGAACAAGAAGTAGTAGAGGTTGTAATCGTAACGTACCCGTCGGCCCTAGTATGGAGATGGTGGCGCGGGGGTAGGTGTAGTTGTTGTCCCCGGGCTCCAGTATAACACAGCCACTTTTAATGGCGCTGAACGTCTCCACCTCCCCTTTCCCGTCAAGCACCTGCCGGCAGACAACCAAACTGAGAGTAGGTAAATGCATTCTGTCATATTTTCTCACATACTAGCTATATGGCGGCGGTATGTAGATAATCGAGTCTGGACCCGACAATCCAGTGATCAACAGCATGAGCATCGATCTACGCAATTGGGATACGATGACATGATTCCACCAAGTGACATGAGTCCACCGAGCCTGACCCACCGATCCCGTTACTCGCCTCTTACGACAAGCATGGATTACTGAAGATCAGTTATAACCCGGATCTTCACGGGTTTGTGGAGGCAGGACTTTTCAAGATAGTTTGCGTGTACACGTACTAGTATTGGATTATAGTGAGTGAGTGAGTTTACTTTTACGCCACTCTTAGCAATATTCCAGCAATATCACTGCGGGGACACCAGAAATGTGCCTCACATATTTTACCCATGTGGGAATCGAACCCGGGGAGAGGAGCAATAAGGCCAGTATTATATTTAAAAGTTGAGCCGGTGCTAGAGAGACAACTGCACTGGTACCGACTGTGGGTTAGGTGTATTAGGCGTGCTAGGTGTACTTGGTGTACTGGGTGTACGGGGTGTACTCACGGCATGGAGAAACCCGGAGGTCGTGGAGCAGGAACTAGACATCATCAGGTTGTACGTGGGGGGCATCACGTCAAAGTACAAGTTGGTCAGCTGACATTCTTCCTCCTCAACAACCAGTGCGCCGCTCACAAACGCTGTTGTTTCGAACTGCAATATATATCATAAACACCATCTTTGGCGAACGCTTTGACAATAAAACATTAAAGAGATCCAATGTATTGTTTACGGGTTCCATAAGAATTTAGTTCTAAAACGATTGTACGTTTCAGGTTTTAAATAACAATAGAGATCTACGACGGACATCATTCTTGTAACTGGTGCGTGTAATTTGGACATGTCAATGACATATCTACCATAACACGTTGCTGATTATTGCAGCCTTGACCTTAAAACACTTTCTACAACACCAGAGAAATGCGTGTTGTATACACACAAGTGCAAAAAGTACCCTTTCTTGTCACGGAATCGTTTATATATTAATTAGTATTAATTATAACATTTTAATTAAATAATAAATAACAATGACCACGCATGACGATAATCTAAAAGACGCCTCACCGTCTGAAGATTTGTGCTGTTGATGAAGACACTCCCTATCTCGGTTGTGGCGTTTAAACCTTGGTAAAACTGGACGAAAGATTGAAATTCTGAAACAATGACACAAACCTAAATCAAATATACACCATTACCTTGTGAAAATACTATGCAATACTCAGTCTGAAGGACGTGTAAAGGTACCACGGATGTATACTGTCAACCTTTTTACAGTGCTTCCTGCTTGCAAATGTCACCCAGGCAGCAAAGGCGTCGAGTTGAATTACTCCGGGATCCCCCACACACACACACACACATCAACCCTACACTTACTTAGATAATTTGAAAAGTTTAAATCCAACTCACACACTCGCTCACTTAATCAATCATCGTTATTGGTTTGTTTACTAATACCGCCCACTACCCGCTGAAACAAAATATACGCCTCGCCTGTACCCATATCAAATGTCAAATAAAGAAGAACCGAAGGTAGGAACTCGTCCCTCAAATGTCGACATCCTTTTATCGGGACATATCCTGCATATCGGATCGCAATTTCAGAGGTATAGCCCCGTTATACGTGGCAGTCCGCACAGAACCGTATACAGTTTAGATATCCAGACAAACGAGTGTATTTTTGTTTGTACTGTTTTTAAACCAAAGATGTTCACCTGTCGTGATGTACACGCTGCTGGCGGTGGTGCCGCCGCAGAGCTGCGCGTTGTCGCCATCACAAAGTGTTGCGCAGTCATTTTCCGATGTCGAGGTGATTTCGTCTGGCGCCCCTCCAGTGTCGGCCACACAGTAGCAAGACGCCCCCTACAGGTGAAGACAAGGGACATCACAGGTACACAGTTAATTGTTGCTGGTGAGATTGTTGTCAGGTGCTGCTTGAATGTATCTCACAGAAAACATTGTTTTGGTTTCAATCATGTAAACACAGAGTGATGCATCACTGCTGTTCATATTTTCACTGTTTCTGCGAGATATTTAACCACAGTTGCTAGTGTCAGCACTACACCTAGTTAAAATTGAAACCTCGTACAGAAGGAATATCGAAATGGAAATCCGTCAGTCAACTCTGTCTCTATTTTCACGATAGTATCTTGCTTGTCGCAAATGACCGGCTCGGGGGCTCGGGTTCGGTGGCTTGGTCGCGTGAAGATCAATTTAAGTTGTTCAGTTGTCTCGAGGGGGACATGAGATGATGTATCCTCTATGGTTGTTTATGTTCCCTTGAACAAACATAGGGGGTACATCAACTCATGGGTACCGAGGGGCCAGTGAACAACGTATTTATCTTACCGAACACCAATGTTAATTTTGAACTGTTTGAAGCACGGGTATCGGATCATAATAAGGAGTACCAGAGTTAGGCAATTTGCCAATACTAGATATTTGGATGGCTTAGAATCTAGCAGACGACAAGAAAAACAACATTTAATAATTCATTCGATTGGATTTGCGAAACATCGGTAATTTCCGTACATCATACGTGACTCACTTATTCGAGATAGAGAATAACTAATACGAAGTACCAAATGAATTCCCACAGTTCGGCATTCCCAGTGGGTAACATAGAAAATCTCATTGTCATAGGATTGTCTGACACTGACTCGATAAATGCTACGCCGCTGCAATAATTAAAGTGCGGCGTTGTGTAACAAACAAAACAAACTGCAGCTCCTAAAATAGCACGTGAAGCTAGCATACATGCGTGCTTGTGCGCATTATAGCAAAACTTCGCAAAGTTTACGGTATATCTATATGCAATTTCATATCTTAATTCTGAAGGATTTTACAGCTTGTTATGTATTTGTAGTATGTATATACAAAGCTCTGGTTGCGTTGAAAGCAGCGTAAATCCAAACTCATTCACTTATCGGTAACACATCTATACACAGTCGCGTACCGATCCGTCGAATGTCTGATTTCAAAGTAGTAAAATGCATTCGACGGATGAGCACTGTGATCTTAGCTTTTAATTAGTTATCCAAACATTGGATCATACCAAGAAAAGACGCAAGGGGTGTTGGACGGTTTCACTCTCTTTATTTTAGTACTTTTGTACTTATCTTTATACACATCTATACCCAGTGTTTTAGATGCAATACATACCGAAAGTGCGAAATACGCTGTCGTGCACTTTTCGTAGCATTTCATGATGTTTGTGTCAGTCAGTGTATGGGTCGCTGAGCCTGCCGGTTTCGTGTAACAACCAATGTATCCTGCAACATCGACACAACAACTGCTGACTAAACGTATAAAGACATGTGTATGTCCGCCACATCAGATCATGATGGGATTACCATATAAACATTTACGTGAGACCCCCTAGATGCACGGGGAATCCAGCAGGGGCCCGCAGACTCTCTGGATGTACGGGACAGTAGATCAGACTGTCTGGATGTACGGGACATTAGATCAGACTCTCTGGATGTACGTTAGAATAAAGCACACTCTCTGGATGTACGGGACATAAGATCAGACTCTCTTGGTGTACGTTAGATTAGATCACACTCTCTGGATGTACGGGACATTAAATCAGACTCTCTGGATGTACGGGACATGAGATCAGACTCTCTGGATGTACGGGACATGAGATCAGACTCTGTGGATGTACGGGACATGAGATCAGACTCTCTGGATGTACGGGACATGAGATCAGACTCTCTGGGTGTACGGGACATGAGATGAGACTCTCTGGATGTACGGGACATTAGATCAGACTCTCTGGATGTACGGGACATTAGATCAGACTCTCTGGATGTACGGGACATTAGATCAGACTCTCTGGATGTACGGGACATGAGATCAGACTCTCTGGATGTACGGGACATTAGATCAGACTCTCTGGATGTACGGGACACGACAGTAGGATGGATGTACAGGACATGAGATCAGACTCTGGATGTACGGGACATTAGATCAGACTCTCTGGATGTACGGGACATTAGATCAGACTCTCTGGATGTACGGGACATTAGATCAGACTCTCTGGATGTACGGGACAGTAGATCATGACAGGACCGAGAGACTCTGGATGTACGGGACATCAGAACAGACCCTCTGGATGTACGTTAGATTAGATCAGACCCTCTGGATGTACGGGACCGGGTCCGGGAGACTCTCTGGATGTACGGGACATTAGATCAGACTCTCGGAATGTACGTTAGATTAAAGTACACTCTCTGGATGTACGGGACATAAGATCAGACTCTTTTGGTGTACGTTAGATAAGATCACACTCTCTGGATGTACGGGACATTAAATCGCACTCTCTGGATGTACGGGACATGAAATCAGACTCTGTCGATGTACGGGACATGAGATCAGACTCTGTGGATGTACGGGACATGAGATCATACTTTCTGGATGTACGGGGCATGAACTCAGACTCTCTGGAAGTAAGGGACATTAGATGAAGAAGGGTCCGCGAGACTCTCTGCATGTGCGGGACATTAGGTCAAACTCTCTGGATGTACGGGACATTAGATCAGACTCTCTGGATGTACGGGACATTAGATCAGACTCTCTGGGTGTACGGGACATTAGATCGGAGTCTCTGGATGTACGGGACAGTAGATCATGACAGGACCGAGAGACTCTGGATGTACGGGACATTAGATCAGACTCTCTGGATGTACGGGACATTAGATCAGACTCTCTGGATGTACGGACATTAGATCAGACTCTCTGGATGTACGGGACATGAGATCAGACTCTCTGGATGTACGGGACATTAGATCAGACTCTCTGGATGTACGGGACATTAGATCAGACTCTGGATGTACGGGACATTAGATCAGACTCTCTGGATGTACGGGACATGAGATCAGACCCTCTGGATGTACGTTAGATTAGATCAGACTCTCTGGATGTACGGGACATGAGATCAGACTGTCTGGGTGGACGGGACATTAGATCAGGCTATCTGCATGTACGTTAGATTAAATCGCACTCTCTGGATGTAAGGGACATTAAATCAGACTCTCTAGATCGGAGTCTCTGGATGTAAGGGACAGTAGATCATGACAGAACCGAGAGACTCTGGATGTACGGGACATTATATCAAGAAGGTTCCGCGAGACTCTCTGGATGTACGACATTATATCAAGAAGGTTCCACGAGACTCTCTTGATGTACGGTACATTAGGTCAGACTCTCTGGATGTACGGGGCATGAGATCAGACTCTCTGGGTGTACGGGACATGAGATCAGACTCTCTGGGTGTACGGAACATGGGATGAGACTCTCTTGGTGAACGGGACATGAAATGAGACTCTCTGGGTGTACGGGATATTAAATCAGACTCCGTGGATGTACGGAACATGCGATCAGACTCTCTGGATGTACGAGACATTAGATCAGACTCTCTGGATGTACGGGGCATGAGATCAGACTCTCTGGGTGTACGGGACATGAGATCAGACTCTCTGGATGTACGGGACATGAGATCAGACTCTCTGGATGTACGTTAGATTAGATCATACTCTCTGGATGTACGGGACATGAGATCAGACTCTCTGGGTGGACGGAACATTAGATCAGGCTATCTGCATGTACGTTAGATTAAATTGCACTCTCTGGATGAAAGGGACATTAAATCAGACTCTATGGATGTACGGGACATGAGATCAGGCTCTGTGGATGTACCAGGCATGGGATCAGACTTTCTGGATGTACGGGACACGACATCAGACACTGTGGATGTACGGGACATGCGATCAGACTCTCTGGATGTACGGGAAATTAGATCAGACTCTCTGGATGTACGGGACATTAGATCAGACTCTCTGGATGTACGGGACAGTAGATCATGACAGGACCGAGAGACTCTGGATGTACGGGACATCAGAACAGACCCTCTGGATGTACGTTAGATTAGATCAGACCCTCTGGATGTACGGGACCGGGTCCGGGAGACTCTCTGGATGTACGGGACATTAGATCAGACTCTCGGAATGTACGTTAGATTAAAGTACACTCTCTGGATGTACGGGACATAAGATCAGACTCTTTTGGTGTACGTTAGATAAGATCACACTCTCTGGATGTACGGGACATTAAATCGCACTCTCTGGATGTACGGGACAGGGACATGATGTAGAAATCAGACTCTGTCGATGTACGGGACATGAGATCAGACTCTCTGGATGTACGGGACATGAGATCAGACTCTCTGGATGTACGGGACATGAGATGAGACTCTCTGGAAGTAAGGGACATCAGATGAATGTACAGGACATGAGATCAGACTCTCTGGATGTACGGGACATTAGATCAGACTCTCTGGATGTACGGGACATGAGATCAGACTCTCTGGATGTACGGGACATTAGATCAGACTCTCTGGATGTACGGGACATGAGATCAGACTCTCTGGATGTACGGGACATGAGATCAGACTCTCTGGGTGTACGGGACATTAGATCAGACTATCTGCATGTACGTTAGATTAAATCGCACTCTCTGGATGTACGGGACATGAGATCAGACTCTCTGGATGTACGGGACATGAGATCAGACTCTCTGGATGTACGGGACATGAGATCAGACTCTCTGGATGTACGGGACATGAGATCAGACTCTCTGGATGTACGGGACATGAGATCAGACTCTCTGGATGTACGGGACATTAGATCAGACTCTCTGGATGTACGGGACATTAGATCAGACTCTCTGGATGTACGGGACAGTAGATCATGACAGGACCGAGAGACTCTGGATGTACGGGACATCAGAACAGACTCTCTGGATGTACGGGACATGAGATCAGACTCTCTGGATGTACGGGACATGAGATCAGACTCTCTGGATGTACGGGACATTAGATCAGACTCTCTGGATGTACGGGACATTAGATCAGACTCTCTGGATGTACGGGACATGAGAGACTCTCTGGATGTACGGGACATGAGCTCAGACTCTCTGGAAGTAAGGGACATTAGATCAAGAAGGTTCCGCGAGACTCTCTGGATGTACGGTACATTAGGTCAGACTCTCTGGATGTACGGGGCATGAGATCAGGCTCTCTGGGTGTACGGGACATGAGATCAGACTCTCTGGGTGTACGGAACATGGGATGAGACTCTCTTGGTGAACGGGACATGAAATGAGACTCTCTGGATGTACGGGATATTAAATCAAACTCCGTGGATGTACGGGACATGAGATCAGACTCTCTGGATGTACGAGACATTAGAGCAGACTCTCTGGATGTACGGGACATTAGATCATACTCTCTGGATGTACGGGATATTAGATCAAGAAGGGTCCGCGAGACTCTCTGGATGTACGGGACATTAGATCAGACTCTCTGGATGTACGGGACATGACATCAGACTCTCTGGATGTACGGGACATAAGATCAGACTCTCTGGATGTACGGGACATTAGATCAGACTCTCTGGATGTACGGGATATTAGATCAAGAAGGGTCCGCGAGACTCTCTGGGTGTACGGGACATGAGCTCAGACTCTCTGGAAGTAAGGGACATTAGATCAAGAAGGTTCCGCGAGACTGTCTGGGTGTACGGTACATTAGGTCAGACTCTCTGGATGTACGGGGCATGAGATCAGACTCTCTGGGTGTACGGGACATGAGATCAGACTCTCTTGGTGTACGGGACATGAGATGAGACCCTCTGGATGTACGGGACCGGCTCTGGGAGACTCTCTGGATGTACGGGACATGAGTTCAGACTCTCTGGGTGTACTGGACATGAGATGAGACTCTCTGGGTGAACGGGACATGAAATGAGACTCTCTGGGTTTACTGGATATTAAATCAGACTCCGTGGATGTACGTGACATGAGATCAGTCTCTCTGGATGTACGAGACATTAGAGCATACTCTCTGGATGTACGGGACATTAGTTCAGACTCTCTGGATGTACGGGACATTAGTTCAGACTCTCTGGATGTACGTTAGATTAAATCACCCTCTCTGGATGTAAGGGACATTAAATCAGAATCTGTGGGTGTACGTTAGATTAAATCACACTCTCTTGGTGTACGGGACATTAAATCAGACTCTCTGGATGTACGGAACATTAGATCAAGAAGGAGGTGTGAGACTCTCTGGATGTTTGTGACATAAGATGAAGAAGGGTCATGTTCGCTCCGCTGGACGCAAGGGACATAAGATGAGGACTGGACTCGAAAGGTCTACTATCTAAAAATTGAAAAATTGAAAAAAGGTCCCGGATGGTCCTTTAGGTTTACGGGACTCGTTGGTTCATGACGTTTCTCACTTATACATGTAGTCATATTTTACAGCTTACCTGCATTAGGCATGTCTTGGAAGGTGGAATCACTAGAGACGATAATCTCCACCCCGTTGAGCGTGTCACTGAGGTAGTGACGTGGGTTGATGATGGACAACAGCGTCGTGGCTGAATTCATTATTGGATTCAAGGCGAAACCCATCATTCCTGTAGCAAGAGTGTGTCTGGTGTAAATATGTCAGGGTCATTGTGAAGGCAAAAGGCGTTAAGGCGTCTAGATTAATATAGTGTTCGGTTACCATACCTCAATTTAACAAGAATATCGCGCTCTCGTCATGTTTATATGACCATCAATGCAAGGACGAGCAAGAGTGAAAGTGATTTAGACTCGAAGATAGTCATCCTATCCAGACGTTTATAAAGAAGGAACTTTACGGAAATTTACGAGAGATTAAACATATTTATCATCCAAAACTGTGTTCCACAGGATATATTGCTTTTTGACAGTAGATTTTGCACAATGCCCTGACAATATGCTATGACGTCACGAACTTGATGACGTCGCAATGCTATGACATCGCTGCACTGCAAGTCTAATGGCAGTACTGTGTTCAGAGGTGTACATTTTTCATTGAAAACTAATGAAGAGTGATTTTTTATGATAAATAGAATCTCACCCTCGTTTCTTCTGATATCAAATATATTAACACTCGTTGATAACAGTAAAAATATCCTCGGCAAGGGTTGGATATCTGTTACTTTATCAACTCGTGGTGATATACTTGATATCAAAAGACACTCGGGTGAGATTCTCTATTTATCATCCAAAACTGTGTTCCACAGGAGATATCGCTTGTGTGAGATCATATGATATCTCCTAGGAGATATCGTTTTGACAGTAGATTTTGTACAATGCCCTGATAATGCTATGACGTCATCAACGATGACGTCCTAATGCTATGACATCACTGCACTGCAAGTCTAATGGTAGTAAGTGTTGAGAGATGTACATTTTTCATTGAAAACTAATGAAGAATGATTTTTGATGATAAATAAAATCTCACCCTCGTGTCTACTTCTATGAATTATATCAACACTCGTTGATACAAGTGAAAATATCCTCGGCAAGCCTCGGATATTTGTAATTTTATCAACTCGTGTTGATATAATTGATATCAGAAGACACTTGGGTGAGATTCTCTATTTCTTACGCAGTATATTCTGTCGTTGCCACCACTGATCCAGAGAAAGGACATGTTATATAATCTGCGTATGGACAGTCACCAGTTGCCAACAGCTCTTCGCCGAGGTCGTTGTATACGTGCATAGTCATCTGGAAGCAGAAAAAGCTGTTACCAGGGAGGGTTCATTGTTCACAGGACATTGATTGTGATGTTCAGATGGGACATTATACCCCAGGGAGAGTTCAGTGTGATGTTTAGTTTAAGTGAATTCAAACGGAGATACATTATGAAGAGGGCTCATTGTGAACGTCGCAACAGCGTGAATTAGTGTCAGGGAAACGCGCGTTATCGGGAGTTCAATATGCACGGAGTGACTTCATACTTTAGATATATTCACAGGGCCTGAATGACTTCGTCAGGGAAATGTACTCCAGAGGGCTGTCATCACGCCCGGTGAGTTCATACTCCAGAAGGAATGTCTCTTTTCCCAAGTTCAACAAAGAAGACTATCTGAGCATCGTACGTAAAACTTGTTAAGTTGATAAGAATGGTTAAAGAAGTGTGATGTTTTTTCGGACGAGTTACGTCAAATTCCACGTACTGTCTCACGTCTAGCGAGCTCTGAATGTAGAGTATTATTATCAATATTAATTATCATTATTCTCTTACTGAGAAGTAAATCGGATTATCGAATGTTAAACTATCGATTCGAATACGTTAGCGTACACATTTGAACTGTGTGGGTTTTTTTTCATTTTGAACTTATTCTAAAAAGAAGACACCACCGCTGAACCCCCGTTAGCTTATGGAGAGGATCATCGAGTGAGGGGGGATATAGCTAGCAGAGACTCGAAGACTGGCTTGTATTTGGGGTAACTGTATTGGTCATGTTACGCATTATTTAGGCTGGAGGAAATATAGAACTACTTGTTGTTAGCTGCAGACAAATGTCACGACCTACACTACAGCGACGAGACGTGTTCAGTAACGACAACCTCGTTGTTTTACGTCCATTTCAAACCAATAACAATCGTATCAATAACATGTTAATCAATGAAACAGAAAGGAGAATATCGATTTTGACCCGTTCTCGGTACGAAATCGATTTCTCTCTGAGACATGTGAAGGTATATTTTGAAAAAGAACACGCTTCGTAGCACGCTGATAGGCGCGATTCCGCTTTACCTGGCAATGTGTTTGTACGGGGCACGGCCCTGTATGTATTCATCTAATTTATACTAATTCGGTTCATCGACGAACAGATTGTTTGTTTCATCAAGTGTCAGATAAATGGTCCACGGGGTCAATTTCAAGCGGGGATATGTGTGCAAACTTCGACGCTTATTGTCTTGTCCAGACCCGATTACTTACAGCCAGCGCCATATAGCTGGGATATTGCTGAGTGCGGCGTTAAACAACAAACAAACAGACTGTTTGTGTGATTGAACACTTTCATCGATCACTGGATCAAACCACAACCCACACTCCACACCCCGGGCCCAATTGTACAACGTGTTGATCCCAGAACTAACTAATGTACAACTGATTTATTGAGTGAGTATGGTTTCACGCCACTTTTAGCAATATTTCAGCAATATCACGGCAGGGGACACCAGAAATGGGCTTCACACATTGTACCCATGCGGGGAAACGAACCGGCGTGACGAGCGAACGCTTTAACCACTAGGCTACCCCACCGCCCCTCACTACTTTACGAATATTGCATTGATACGATTATTATACTGCGTATGTATTCATTATCATAGAAATCCATAGCTCTGTCTAAGGTAAGTAAACTAGCGACTTGATGACGACAACAGACGTAATGAGAACCGACATACACTGGACGTGAGGGAGGGGAGGGGATACGTATCGTGGACAAACTTGGGAATATAAGACACGAACGTCTAGCTAATTGTGAATCATACGTATATCTTCAAGAGTTCATGTTTGATTTATATATTTTGTACACGTAATGTAGAGCCCATGTGATAACCTTGACACGACACGACTTGCAGTGGAATATGGCTCGCCAAACAAGGAAGCCAACAAATTCTACAGCATTAAATCAGGAGATAGTTGTCCAAAACATGTGGGGTGGTGGGGTAGCCTAGTGGTTAAAGCGTTCGCTCGTCATGCCGAAGACCCGGGTTCGATTCCCCACATGGGTACAATGCGTGAAGCCCATTTCTGGTGTCCCCGCCGTGATATTGCTGGAATATTGATAAAAGCGGCGTAAAACCAAACTCACTCACTCAACAAGTTTACAGAATAATATCTCATTTTCACAAATTACTCTTATGACAATATATTTGAAATGGACAAGCAGTCGTAATCGTTTAGATCAGTGTTGTATAAACAGAGTAAAGATTACCGTAACATCTACATAGGAGCTCAAGTTGAACATCCGCTCGCTACGGAAGGTGCCTTTCAGAGCCAAATCCGTGACAGGAAGTAGTTCGTCATCCAGGCAGTCGTTTACCCCTACCAGGGTGCTGATGTCGGCATCCCAAAGTTGGTTAGGATCATACACGCCGCCCGCCGGTACCAACATCAGTATCCCTGTCTCCGTTACACCTGGCAAACATAATATACATCATGGATACACATGGCGGGAACAGTTGCGAGGGGCGAAACAGGGCTCCAGGCACGGATACCTTCACTTACCCTCTCATTGGTTGAGGCAGATTATTTTCGTTCGCCAGAAACAACAGCCATTAGAGGCTTAACGTGAAAACATGCCTTATTAACCGACGTCAACAGATATCCCATAAACCGTTAGAGCCAGAAAATATTCCAAACGTGTAATTAATCATCAAGTCCCAGACGTTTCTGGCAAAGTTTAACAATCAAATTATCAGTGCTTCCGTTTTTTGATTTATGTCAATTGGTGTTTCGGACAAAACGTTGTTATTACAAGCCTGAAGATTCCATGGATGTAGCCTGTTTTGCCAAACTTCCTTGTAGTTCTGTTATTTCTGTATTTTATAATTTGGATTATGTCACTTCCGGTAATGAAATTAGGGTTGCCTGCATGAAACCTGAACTTTAGTTCAAACTTTGTCATGTTATATCTATGGATTTCTGAACATCGCTTCTGCGTCGGAAAATATATATACACAAAAAACTTAGTTAAACACCCCCTGACATATCTCACGATTGAATGAGTCCCGATCTTAACCCTTTGGAGCATATCTGGGACATGATTGATCGTCGCGTGCAACAAAGGGATCCTCCTGTACAGAACGTGGTCCAATTGAAAGATGCTTTACACGAAGAGTGGCGTAGACTGCCAGTATCAGGTAGCTGACAGGGGGTGTGAGGGGGAGTGTGCTGGCTGTCATATAGTCACATTTAGGTTACACTCGATATTGACCTTGAATCGTGTAAGACACGCAAAATGATAGTTTGATTGTTCACATTCACCATTAAATACAACATTAAACATGCCAGGGCCATACTTGTACAGACAGGGTTTTGTATGAAACACAGTGTGTGTGTGTGTTTATAAATGAGGAATTGTCATCATAAAATCAACACGGATTCCAATCATTTTGTCGTCTTTTATGAGTCAAAGGATCATATGGGTCAGAAAAATTCGTGGTCAACACGAGTTCTTTTACGTACGCGATGAAAAGCTATCATTGCAAAAATACAGGGAGTGCCTAATTAAGTTCTTTGTGTATATATCTCACGTAAATCAACACCACGCCAGTAAGACTAAAAACACATGTCGCTGAAGGAGACCAAGGTCATAATTCTTTGATTAAAATATTTCAGTTAAATTGGGTTAATTGTCACTGTCTCTTTAAAAAGAAAAAGAACTGTTTACATTTTGGACTCAAATACAACTAAAATACCAACTTTATTGTTCCATGTCACACCAGATCATCCGCTGATGTGAAGAACTTAACGAGCGTATTTCCAAATTATATTGATGCTTCGTCTTTGTGCCAATTGTACAGACCAACGCTCACTGCCTCCACACATGCGTTAAACAAAAAATGTTTAGAGAGTTTTATTTTAAGCGCCAATACCGTAGCCTTACTGTCGAAATTGTTCAACACTTAATACCACATGACCAATTCGGTAGCTCTGAGATATATGACCTTTTGTGCTGTTTTGAATGAATTAATGTATTTACAGAGTGTTCAGCCCCAAAAGCCCACCGGACGACGATCCTTCATTTTTAACCAACTCGTGATATTCCGTGATAATCTCCGAGTCCTTCTTGAAGGATATCACACCTACTGAACTATTTCAAGCAAAGCAGATAATTCTATTTCTGTTTAATTCCAAAAGCAATAAAACAAAACAGAAGCAATAGCATACTGCTGTTTCTTATAAGAATTAATCATTTTTCATACAACACAACAACAAGGTATAGATATTGTAACCATGATCGAACAGTTTTTCAGCAAGATTTGTATAAGGTAGATTAAATAAACACCTCAAAACACTTGATACAGAGAATCGTTCAATCGACGCTGCATTTCAAGTGGCAAATATTTCTTATGATCATGAAAAGTGTTTAGTCGCTTTTGTTATAATATTATTAGTTTCTATATTTTATACTGCTATCGACAACAGATATTAAGTAACGCGCGAGTTGTTTCCTCTTTTGAGTAAAAACACAAAAGTTATCTCAGATGAAATTAGACAAACAAAACCGTTCTTCAAGGAAAATCCACCCTTCTGATTATCGATAGTTCCAAGGACGTTGTTGTCAGAACATAACAATGGTTTGTAAAACTAATCCGTAGTTAGTGTGAGCTACAGCCAGGCAATTGCTTGCGTCGTAAAGCTTCTTACATCTTTTGTGAAGTCATAAGTGGATTCTGGTGGGCATTGAATTTTTAATGGATTTTTCACCGATGAATTAGCGCAACCAGAAATATGTTTTGTTCGAGAACTTTACAGATTTTTTTGACAATATTCTGCCGTCAGGTCACAAGAATGATAATGTTGCTTTTGTAATTGAAATGGTTTGCCCGAACTGTGTAGACAGCATGTTTCCAATATCTTGGGCACGTAGCGCGTATTGTCTGACATTAGTGACAGAATGTGGACCTAGAATTGTGCATAATTCATACATAGACGTGAAATAGCTAGGTGAAGTACCATGAGATACACGCTCACAAATTGCTCCCGACGACGGTAACAACGACGATAACAACGACGGTAACAACGGCGATGTCCATCCGGCGGAGACTGGCGATCAGAGGCCGGGATACCTCATGAAGGAATGTGTCATGCACTGACCTCGAGGCCATCTTGGTTTTGATAAAAATGACAATACAATCTTCCAGTGTCACGACGATCCCTAACGGCGTACGAAGCTGTAGTGTGGCCAAGTGGTTAAAGTGTTCGCTCGTCACGCCGATCACACGAGTTCAATTCCCCACATGCGTGCAATATGTGAAGACTATTTATTGTGCCCTCTGCAGCTGGAATAAAACCACTCAGTCACTCTAACGACGCACATGCCTATGCAACGTATACACAAAGAAAACAATAATAATTACTTAAAGTAACATTCTCAGACATTCTCCGGCCTGTTTACCCGGAACCATCAATAATTTCGTATTCCTGTACGAAACACCATATCATCTACGTTGTTCATTCATAGGAGAGAAGACCGATATGGTTGGTCCTATACTTCTACATATCGACGGTTGTGTTGTACATATACATGGGTGTGTGACGGGTGCCAACGTTGGAGCACAATAACCACACCTTTTAGCACCATAGTCCTTGTCGAAGATTAACAATAACCCTTAAGGAAGAGTTTTCGTACATGCAGACATTATTTGAGACAGGTGGAATTGATACCATGTCGATTCCGAGAAATCTGTTTCTAAAACAACTTACAATGTCAGAATACGGCCCACTCACCATGTAAACATCATATACCTACGACCTTTCTCTGCACTTACTCACTTGTGTAAATTTACAAACATGTGTCGCATGAGAGACGTTAACTGACGTTCACCTACATGCACGGAAAACATTATCAACTGTTATTCACAGATTCCTCTAAAATATTCAGTGCCTCTGAGACAGTTATCAATTGTTTGGCAGTACGAACACAAAGCCAGTGCCCAATACAACTTGATGCATCAGGGCTCCATGATTGTGAAGAAATCTCGTTTTTTATCGTGAGAACACAACATATTATAATTTACATGAGTCCACGAAGGCGTGTAACACAGTACACAAGTCTGTGTGCTCACGCACCACTGACTGCTTCCGGTAACGAGCAAACACACATAGCTTGTTTCGGTTACAATCAGACGCAGAGAATGTCAATAAACTCGAATGAATGTGTCAACGTACGAAACCAGATCTATGGCTATCAATAAACTTGACCTCAAAAGCTATATATTATAAATGCATACTATATGATAATATTTTCGTTAAAACTGAATTAAATCAATAAAAATGTCCAATTCTCACAAGATGAGCAATTTGGAGAAAATATCTTTGGGGAAATTTGTTGAAATTCAGTCTTACACAATGTGATGAAATTCTTTTCCATACCTGTACAATATGAACGAAATATCCGAGATGAATATTACTAAAGGTTTTAATTATCCACCCCATAACATGGAAAAAAGTACCAAAACCTATAGTTTTATAATATCAATATATAACCATTACCCATAGCAAATGAACGTATTCAAACCTCAAATTAAGCTACTATCTGGATAAATTGAGGAATTGATAACGGAATAATTAAAAGGCAAATCTAAACGCAGAAAGGTCAACAAACTTTAGTTTACTCATAGAAGCAGGCATGGCAGAAAATTGACTCATTTTGTATTGGTTATAACTATGGTCGTATGACAAGTGTGTTCATTTTCAAGATTCTTTCATACAATCCTAAAGAAATCACAGAATATCAATAACCGATCACTAATAATATCTGGTGTAAGTTTCGCCAACACTAATAAATTGTATTTGACGATGAGATATTGCGTTCTATTCTTGATTGAGGGCTTGTTTGTACTTTGTACTTGAGGATCTTTGCGTCTCATGATGTCCCAACCATGCTGAATGGGACTGAGATCTGGACTCACGGCGGACCATGGTAGAGTTGCATCCGCTTCTTGACGAAGGAAATCACCAACGGCACGTGCAGGATGTGGCCTAGGATTATCGTACTTGACGACTCGCGCTGTGTTCAGAGGATGGTCATTGGAATTTTGTCGTACAATAACTCTGTCTGAGATGTCAGTGATGTACCGTTGTCCATTCAAATTTCGTCTGATCGTAACAAGGTCAATTTTGAAGTCATGCGAGAGGCACCCCCATGCCGCCAATGAACTTCCGTCAAATAGTACTTGCTCTCAAATATTCCGTTCTGCATAATTATGCAGTGTTCCTGCTTCAAGAAACACCAGCCCTGTCATCAGTCATGCACAAAAGAAATCGACTTTCGTCCGACCAATGGACCCTCCCCATGACCTCAAATTCTAGTGACCTCGAGGATGACACCAAGTTAGTAGTGCTGGGGATAACAACGAACGTCTGCTACTCTATACCCATCCGACTTTAGGCGATTATATACCGTTCTG